TTATATACATATATAGGAGATACACACAGACACATATATACACACACATACATATATATATTCCTATAAACAAAGAAACCAAACCTGTTGCCATCCAGTCGATTCTGTCTCATAGAGACCCTACAGTGCAGAGTAGAACTGCCCCATAGGGTTTCCAAGGAGTGGCTGGTGGATTCTAACCGCCGACCTTTTGGTTAGCAGCTGAGCTCTTAACCACTTCGCCACCAATTCTCATATACATACGTACAAGATATATATACATATTTAATTTTAGGTTCAACACTATTGTCTGGGCGTCTGTAGGAATCCACAGACATGCTTCTAGGAAAGTCTTCCCTAGATCACAGGACAGGGGCCAATGACATTTCCCTTTTAGAGAAGAAAAGAACGTGGGGCCCAGACATGGCAGGGCCAGGAATAACAGGTCCTCTAGTTCCACTGCCTCAGATGCAGATCGAGGGTCAATGCCTTCCTCCTGGCCAAGCCCTCAGCATATTTCCACACCTCCTGCCGTCCTCTCAGGCCAACAAAGGTCTCTGCTTTCTAGGGCAGCAGCCTTCCCCCGTGGAAGTGCTATGATGTTTCCTGCATACGACCTTATGTGACTTTGTACACAGTAAAAGCACTCATTCATTTTGCATCTTCACTCTGCCTTGTCACAAGTTAATGTCTTGTTTCCAGTGTCCTTCTATACACCCATCTAAGACACTTGGTCCTAGAAATCAGACACTTTGGATTGTGTCCACCATCCACAATTCCACCCAAGTCAACGAGGGCTTCTCTCCTTGAAATGAGTTGAAATATAGCTGTAGCTTATCTTTCAAATAGTAATAGTAATAAATGAAAATGTTTGCAAGACTACATAACAGATGGTCATATTCCTTCCCCCAATCCCTGCCACAGAACATGCATGGTATTCCCATGGAATTTACACGGGTCACTAGGAAGAAATAAACACCACTCAGCATCTATACAGTCCAAGAGTTTCAAAGGACCATGAGCAAGCAGTTCACCAAACCTCAGGCCATTTACCTCAGCCAGAGAGAGCTGAATGGTGCCGTTCTGGTCCTTGTCTAGAAGTTTGAATATTTCTATAACACCAGAGAAGGAATGAAATTAGATGGGGATTTCCCTGGACTTTGGAACAGCCGGAAAGCTGCCTCTGCGCACCCCACCGCTGCCTGGTACCCTCCCCCTTGCTCTGCACCACACCCCCACCTATCCCCCCACACCCCCACCCATCTGCCAGCTCCCACCTAGCCCCAAGGACCACAAAAAGCTAAGTCCAGACCCAGCACCCAGATGGAAAAATCTAATTGTCAGCACCTCCACCCTCAGATGCTCGTATCAGAAACCTAAGACTCCTTAGAGGGGAGTGGGCTGGGGAGGGGGGAAGAACGGACTGTGGGTGCCCCTTTGTGGGTAATCCAGTCCCTTAGCCTCTTTCTAGACACCTGACCTTTCCCTTTGCACTCACCACCTCTCACCCCTCAGGGAAAGGCAAACCCCCTCCCTTAACAGGACGCTTTAACCCGAGTCCAAGGCCCAAGGCAGCAGGGGAACACCTATTACCTTCTGTAGGGGCCCCCATCTCCTCCCCATCTCCTCAGTAGTCCCCCGTGCAGGCATAAATGCGAATAGACACTAGAAGCTGTTTAAGGACAGTAACTTGGCCCAGTGTCTGCACATAGTAGGTGCACTAAAATCTGGATGGCAGCTTTTTAAGACCTTGGGTCTGGCCAGCCTGGACTTCCTCAAGCCCTTCAGTTTCTGCTTCCCCTTGCCCCCTGGGTGCCACAGAGACCAAAAGGAGAGAGGGGCTCACTGAAGAGGCTCTCCAGGCGGATCATGCAAGCAACGAAGCCTTCAAAGTCGATGCTGAGTTTGCTGCTTGCATACCGCGTGGCGATGGTCTGCTGCACCTGGTTGTTGAGGGTGAAACCTGAGGAGCAGAGGGGCTTAGGTCACAGGTGGAGCAGAAAGAGATACACTCAGCACCATCTCCAATAAAAACTCAAGTGGCTGGCGGTGCAGAGGGTCCACTGTGGTTCTGCATAAATTTGCAAACCAGGCCTGACTCCGCCTCCTCTGAGGGACCCCAGAAGGTGTCCAGTCATCCAGTTGTTCTCCTTGTAGATAACCCTCATCAGGATTAGCCTCTTCCCTGGTCCTAAGGACAGGCCTGGAGCTTCAACACTAACTCATCGTATAATATAACAAATATAAAAAAGCAGTTGCCATCGAGTTGATTCCCACTCACGGCCACCCCACGTGTGTCAGAGTAGAACTGTGCTCCACAGGGTTTTCAAGGCTGTGACCTTCTGGAAGCAGATCGCCAAGCCTTTCTTCCAAGTCATCTCTGGGTGGTTCGAACTGCCAACCTTTCAGTTAGTAATCGAGCGCTTAACTGTTTGTGCCACCCAAGGACTCCATAACAAATATAACTCACTAGTATAACACTATGGGTCACATTAGCCACGGCAAGAAAAGGCAGAGAAGGTGAGGGGGCTGCCTCTCTGGCCAGTCCCCAACCTGTCCCCTTCACAGCCCCACCCTCTGTGACGGCCGTCACCTTCCCAGTAACAAGACGGTTCTTAGAGAAAGTCTAAAGTGTTATGCTATACTGAATCCAGCAACATTCACTTTCCCTGTATACAGAAAATACTCAACAACTCCTTGTCACCACACTGATATACAAACAGGATAACTACCACTGAGGATCATTAGCAGATGTCCTAACAAGGATCACCATTTAAAACATGCAAACTGGCTCCCAGGGCTTGGTCTGGAGGCGTGTCCTCACCTGCCTTCATGAGAGCGGTCCTCATCTCGTGGGCATGGATGGTCCCAGTGTGGTTATAGTCAGTTTCCTGGTAAATCTCCTGAAGCAGAAAAGAAAGCCCAGGTAGAAAGAGCCGTTCATGGGCCTATCAGAACCATCTCCCCTCCACCCCACTCTTTCTTGGAAGGCCAGGGACACCATAAAGAAGAGACTCCACTGAGTCTTCCCAAGAAGAATTCAGAGCAAAGATAAGAATGTGGGCTGAGGGCCAGGGCTGGCTTCTCCTGCCCTCTGAGTGGTGGAGCTTTCCGTGCCGGAATTGACATGCACGGCTTTCTCACTGTCTCTTGTTCCATCCTGAACAATATGTCCAGGTTTTGTGGTGATTTGACCATAGTTAAGGATCTGGTCAGACTAGGGTCTGAAACAGACCAGGAACAAGTGCCAGGGAGAGGTGAGGGCCTGGAAACAGAACGGAGGAGAGAAGCTGGCACCCAGAGGAGGCCCGGCAGGGGAGAATAGTTCCCAGATACTTCTGAATCTTCAGCCAGAGCATCTTGAACTCCACGAATCCCAGGGTGCCTGTCTCATTGCTCTGAGCATGTTAAAGACCAGCGTTCTACATATCTTATGGATGTCTTTCTCTCATGATCCTCCGTGCCTGCAGTTAGCAGGGCAGCAGGTGATGGTATGGGTTGGTGGGAAACAAAGTTAAATAACGATTAAAAAGTTAAACACTCACTGGGGCCTTCCTTTTGGGCCAGGCACAGAGGGAGGAACAAAGGGCAAGACTTGAGCCAACAGATCTCAGAGCCACATCATTAATTAGCCCCTAACACAGTTGGAGGAAACCCTGGTGGCATAGTGGTTAAGTGCTATGGATAATAACCAAAGGTCAGCAGTTCAGATCTACCAGCTGTTCCTTGGAAACCCTATGGAGCAGTTCTACTCTGTCCTACAGGGTCAATATGAGTCAGAATCGATTTGACGGCAATGAGTTTTGTTTTGTTTTTTTGGTTAACAGCCTAATTATCCTAGGTTATGGAGAGGGTTGAACTACAAAAAAAAAAAAAAAAACCGTTGCCATCAATTCCAACTCATGGCAACCCCATGGGTTACAGAGTAGAACTGCTCCATAGGGTTTTCTTGACTGTACTCTTTATGGAAGCAGATCGTCAAGGCTTTCTTCCGCAGTGCTGCTGTATAGTTTTGAACCATCAACCTTTATGTAAGAGTCAAGTGCAAACCGTTTGCACCATCCAGCAATTCCAGATTTAAATCTCTGTGATGGATAATTCAAATCACTAAAGTTGGTTGGCATGCCAAAATATTATCAGAAAGGTCATCAGGAGGCACAGGACTGGGGTTCTCAGTCATGACAGTCGACATGTGCTTGACAGCATGGCACGCAGAGAGCTCCGGGGCTCTTGACAGTCATTCCTGGGCGCTGGGACACAGCCCCAGCAGCACACCTGGCCCATAGGCCACTCTACAACCAAAATGCAGGGAAGGGTGGAATTCTCTGTGCCCATATTATGTTTACATTTTCAACAAGTAAGTATTTATTGAGCACCGTGCTAGATGACAGAGATTTGGTTCGGAACTGCCCCTGCCCTCATCAAGTTAAGTCGGTTTGAAACTCTACTCTTTTCTCACCAGTCACAACTAATCAGTACTCACCAGTTACGGCGCTGATGTTAAAATTATGAAACCGACCATCATTCGTACCCCCTTCAACTAGCCAAACAAAAAGTCATGTTTACACCCAAGAGTGTGAACCTCCTCCTCCCTTAGGAAAGTCTGTGTTCATCTATCTGTGATGGACACTGAGTACAGGATGCCCCACAGCTTTCAATCTCTTACTAATAATTCAGCCAATGTATCTCAGAATTGGAGTATTCAAAGGGAGCTAACGCCTGTAGCGTACGTTGTAGTGTTTGGCACTTTGTATGCTGTATCTCACTTCATCCTCACAGTAACCATATGAGCTAGACACTGTGATCTTATCTTTCAGGAGAAGAGACGGAGACTGAGAGCATTTAGTAACTTCCCCAAGGTTACTCACCTAGTAAGCAGTGGAGCTAGAATCGAACCCTTACCTGTTCCAAAGCCCTTGACCGTGAGTATCAACCAAACCAAACAAAGCAAATCCATTGCCATTGAGTCAGTTCTAACTCATAGTGACCCTGTAGGACACAGCAGAACTACCCCATAGAGTTTCCAAGGCTGTAATCTTTACGGAAGCAGACTGCCACGTCTTTCTCTCGCGGAGTGGCTGATGGGTTTGAACTGCCAACCTTTCGGTTAGCAGCTGAGCACTTTAATCACTGAGCCACCAGAGCTCTTTCCCTGGCCCTCGATTCCAGATGCACACTGAAATTTCCTGCCAAGAACTGGGCCCTGTTCTAAACCCAGAGAATCAGGGTCTCCAGCAGTGAAACTCTGGTTCAGAACCACTGCACATGCCACTTAAATGGTGGAACTGAACGCTCCTCAAGAACGCTCCAAGAGAGACACAGTCCTCTTGGAGTTCTGAGACATACAATACCATTGGGAACAGTGAATGCGTGGCTACAAGACAATGTTCAGATCTAAACTGAAGCCAACAGGCAAGGCTTGAGGAAAACAATTCAGAAATCAGGGAACTACTTGTAGCAAGGTGGTCAACAGTTGACAATCCTGGCTGGCCCACAGATTAAACTGTTAACCATACAGGCCTGTGGAAGCTTAAAAGGGCTGGAAAGGCCACCTGAAGCTCTGACCACAAGGATAACACCATCTCTACATTTCTGATAACTCTACCAGAAGTCTACGCTCACGCCTGGATACCTAGAACCCCTCTACATGATAAACCCGTGCAAATGAAAATAATTCCTCATGCACCAAGGTTAGTTAAGGAATCCTGCAGAAATGGCCATCACAGCTCAGCATGGATGAAGCCTAAGAACTGAGGAGAACCTTCCAATCTTCCAATTTTTAAAGAAATCCCATTCATGATCAGCACTATGGAGATGGGTTACCAGGATCCGACCTAGACAAAGCTGAAGGAAGTGATTTTCGACCATTCACCTCTGTGCCTTCATTTAAGCTGTCCCCCATGCCTGCAATGCCCTAACCTTCTCCAAGCCTCCTGCAGCTCCTACACATTTGATAATATAAAATGAGGGTTACATTAGATCGGAGAGAGCTAATGGGCTTTATCTTATGCGATAATTTCAAACTATTGGTAGTAGCTGTCTGAGGGCTGTGTTAAAATTCTGAGACAAAGTCCAGCTAGTGATGGGGAGAGCAGGGGAGGAATGGGAGGGGAGGTTAGAGGGTGGAGGATGGGAATGGAATTCAGTGGAAGGAACACCGCCATGATAACCTAAAAGAGTGTGGAGAGAGGAGAAGAGACGCAAAGGCCACATAGTTGCTATCTCTAAATTAAATGATTTTAAACAAGTCCTTTAAACATCACACACCTCAGCTTCTTCACCTGTAAAAGGTAGGTAATCTCAAGCTTATTGAGGTGCGTACATGAGATTTTCGATAGATAAACCCAAAAATCAAACCCGTTGCCAGCAAGTTGATTCCAACTCATAGTAATCCTATAGGACAGAGTAGAACTGCTCCATAGAGTTTCCAAGGAGCAGCTGGTGGATTCAAACTGCTGACCTTTTGGTTAGCAGCCGTAGCTCACCATAGCTAATAGACAGATAAATGGATGGATGGATGGATGGATGGATGGATGGATGGATGGATAATAGATGATAGAGAACATATCATGTCATATATATCATATATAATATGTATAAATATACATATATGTAAAAGCTTCCAGCATGATGCCTGTCATATGCTCTATAAATGCTCATTTCCCTTCTCGTCCTTTCTCCTGTCTACCTTCTCTTCCTCCTCACTGGAAAAGGATGAGGAATCATTAAACACAGGAAGGAAGTACATTGAAAGGATACATCCAACAGGCTGGTCATTTCCCTGCAAGTGTTGATGTCGAATCCGTCAAATTTTATGTCTGTTCCTAAATATTTAGATAGAAAAGAGGAGTGGGAGTCAGGACCAAGGGGAACGATCTCCATGGTAGGAAACCACCAAAGATCCCAGCTGCAGTGTGGAACTGAACGTGCTCTCCCCTGTGGCGGGTTCATCAGCAGATGCCCCGAACTGCCCAGACCCCTGGAGGCAGTGCAGTGGAGTGGTTAGGAGCACCAGCATTGGGGGTCCATGTTTGACTCTTGGCTCTGCTACTCATGGGACCTTGGCGAATTAATAACACCTCTGACCTTCCGTTTCCTCCTCCAGCAAGTGGCAAAAATAAGACTTGACCCAAAGACAGGTTAGGGATTAAACGAGATAAGGTAAGTGAAGTTCTTAGCACAGCGATTGGGATATGGTAAGTTCTTAATAAAACAGCTAACTTTCTATTAGCTAGGTATTGTTCTAAGCATTGTGCATCTATTCCTCAAAATAACCTCCGTGGTAGATACTATCATTATCCCCATTTTATAGATAAGGAAACTGGGGTACAGAGAGATTAAATAATTCACTCAACTTCACACAACCAGTAGGGGGCAGAGCTGGGATTTAAACCAGGGCTTCGAATCAGTTCGCTCCAGTTCGAACCCTGACTGAGAATTTGCATTTCCAATCCAGATATACTGAATTAGAATCTACATTTTAACAAGATCCCCAGGTGATCCTTATGTATAATAAATTCTGAGAACCACTGCTCTACCAGTGGTTCTCAGAATTGGTCTGTAACCAGCAGCATTAGCATCACCCGGGAACTTGTTAGACATGCGAATTCTCAGCAGGGGTTCAAAGCCCTGATTTAAACACAGGCCATCTGCCTCCATAGCCTGTGCTTTTGACCACGACTTGTCGTTGCTGTTGTTCGCTGTCATTGAGTAGACTCACTACAACCCCATGTATAACAGAATGAGACACTGCCCCAGTCCTGTGCCATGGTCATGCTCACGGCCGTTGTTGCAGCCACTGTGTATTTTGAGTACCTTCTAACCTAGGGCTCATCTTCCAGCACTATATCAGAGACAATACTCTGTTGTGATCCATAGGATTTTCATTGGCTAATTTTTGGGAGTAGATCATCAGGCCTTTCTTCCTAGTCTGTCTTAGTCTAGAAGCTCCACTGAAACCTGTCCACCACAGATGACCTTGCTGGTCTTTGAAATACTGGTGGCATGGCTTCCAACACACAAGCCACCACAGTGTCACAAACGGACATACAGCCTCTTCAATGGAGCTTTCATCAGTACTTGCTAAATGGCAGAGCGTCTCCCTGAAGCTCCGGCCATGCCTGCCCTCCACCCTCAGCTTCTTCACACCTGGGAGCCAAGGCAGGAGCCAAAGACCCTGCAGCCCTCTCCTCCGCCCCCTGCTCCTGTCAGCCAAGGGGAAGGTAGGAGCAAGAGCTGGAGCAGAGGGTGGGAAGGCGGTCCTGAGCCAGTGCCTGGGCCTGAGCCCTGGAGAGCTGCTCCACCCCGTCCCCAGGAGGGGTCCCACTCAGCCGTCTGCTGAGACCTGTTTCCTGCATTCTCACACCAGGACCTGCTGCAGCGGGTGTACAGGAGCCCATCACTCAGCCAGCCGGCAGACTTGGCCTGGCCCATCCCTGGACCAGAAGAAACCAGCTCCATGCCAGCGCCTGTGGGGCTGGGCTTCAGACGGGGCAGGGCAGACCTTTCTTCCTGGGCACATTTTAACCCTCTGACAGCCCCCAAGGCTTGCTAAAGTCTGCAGTGAGTCTGAGGGGATCACGCACAATCTGGGGCAGAGTCAAAATAGAATCATCCCTTCCACACGCCTTCCCCCAAAGATGTGCAACAAAATAAGACCCTTCATCTGCATGGTTTTCCACGGTATCGAAGTTCTTCATTCTGTGAAAAAATTTCACTTAAGTCACTCCCAGCCCTGCTTTTTCCCCCCAGGACTGGGCACGTGATATCGTTCACAGCACAGGCACTCGGTCCTGCAGGCTGTCAAGTCCAGGCTGGCCTGCCAGCATCACCCCTCGCCACCCCCGCTGGCCAGGCACCTTCTCCTCTCCAGCCTCCCTGCCTCCCGGCTCTGCTCTGGCTGGATAGAATAGGAACCCCACTGGTCCAAGGCCCCCTCTCCACCTGAGACGCCCCTGTCTCTTTGACTCTGGGGCCCAAAGCCTGCCCCTACCCTGAGCCCAGCCTCTCTCTCAGGTTCCTATGGACTTTCTGAAAGCACTCAAGGGGGGGACTTACGTTTGGAAAACACCCCATTCAGAACCGCCTTGAGCTCACTGGCATTGATCTCCGAGTCCTGGAAAGAGGAACGGGATATAAGTCACGTCAGGCCCTGACAAGGGTTTCAAGACGTCAAATAAACATGGAGCCTCCCCTGCAGTCAGACACCAGATCCACGGACACTGTGATCGTAAAACACAGTGTTTTTTCATTAAAAACGCAAATGCCTCTTTCCTCTGGGGTCCCCGACAGCCTGGCTGGAGGTGCATGTTAATGGCGTGAGCACCTTCCACACTGCAGCTGAAGGCTGCCACGTCAGGGCCTCGATCGCCTGCACGGCGCCTGCTTACACAGACAGCGCAATCTGGCGAGCGGTCATAACAGGAGCCAGCCCTCGCGGACCACCCGCCCTATGTGGACACTGCTTAATCCTCAGAACAGCTCCGCATCTACCTTAGAGTTGTGGCACAGCGGTGAAGAGCTTGGCCGCTAACCGAAAGGTCAGTAGTTTGAATCCAACAACAGCTCCTTGGAAACCCTACGGGGCGGTTCTACTCTGTCCTATAGCGTCACTATGAGTCACAATCGACTCAACAGCAACGGGTTTGGTTTTGCTTTTTAAGCCCTGTATACATACATGATATAATTTATCATTTTCACATGTGATGTAATTGCTTGCGGTTCACAGCTACCAAGTGGCAGTGCTGAGATTCGTCCCAAGACGTTCTCACCCCAAAGTGCCAGCCTTCCCCACTGCACCACGTTCCTGCCTCTGGGAGCTGCTATTACATGCGGTAGCCCACCTAAAACTGAGAGCAGAGGCTTAGGGGAGTAGAATTTCCCATATTCATTTGGGGTAAAGACTGAACCAGAGGGAAGATCTGTCCCCTAACTCTCAGATGGAGGGCAGACCTCAGGCAGGATGACGAACAAGGTGCAGAGAAGGGGCGCCAGACCCAGATCTGGGTTCCAAGTTGACCCCATCCTTGACTCAGTGTGTGACCTTAGCAAAGTCACCGCCCCTCTTGAAGTGTGGTGTCGCTGTTTGTATCCAGGGCAGCCCGGCTCCTCCCCATGTTCAGGCTTTCGTCCTCCACCAGCCAGATAAAACCAAAAACCGGCAGCTGTTGAGTCGATCCGACTCATGGCAACCCCACGTGTGTCAGAGGAGAACTGTGCTCCACCAGGTTTTCAGTGGTTGATTTTTCAGAAGTAGATCTCCAAGCCTTTCTTCCGAGGCACCTCTGGGTGGCCTCCAACCTCCAGCCTTTTAGTTAGCAGTCTGCACCACCCAGGGACCACCAGGACTTTGCACCCCCCAGGGGCTCCTGGGAGGGCAGCTGGCTTCACTGAGCCCCAGAGTAGTCGGCCTCTGTAAGACCTGACGAGG